CCCTAGATATCAGTTAATTCTCTGCAGTGCTCACAATATTATTCATCTCTAATTTGAATTTATGGTTGTATAATTGACCTATCTAAGAGGAAAGACATTTAGTGGCACTTTTTAAGATATGATTTAGGAAAGACTTGACAAATTTGCTGTCAGAACAATGCATAAGTCAAATATATGACTATCTTGATTGTGATAAATGTTTTGTCATAATGAGGAATTTAGCATTCAAGAATGATGATGAATTTGAAATTCTCACTAAGAGGTTTTATAAATTAGGGAATTAACTCAGAGATAATGTACCTGCAGCAAAAAACAAGGTGAAAATGCTCTCTTGTTCCTATGCTGATGTCATGCATGTGCTCATGCAGAAGGCTGATATTTATAAAACCAGCATGAAAGTTTGGTTGGAAAACGGGACAATTCCAGTATATGTGGAGGTCTCATTTTGATGCGAGAGAGCTGTAGCACGTTTTGCATTTTATGCTCTTAAAAAGGAAGAATGTCAATAATTTTGATTCTGTATGGGAAACTCGAAGAAGTTCTAATGATAAATGTACACAACAATCAGTGAAACATAGAATTTGTTCAGAAAAAAAAATGTGCGATAACAGTATTACCACCTCGGAGCTTGATTTCTTCAGTCTCAGAGGATAAGCAAAACTAGGGCTAGTGTTTACTAGGATCTCCAAGGACAACCAGTTTACTGCAAAATGAACCACATTGTTGAAAACAATCCCATGGTACTGTTCATTAGACTGAGGGTTAATACCAATAATACATGGTATCATGTCTAATTCCACTCTGGACTTCAACAACCTGGTGTACCTAGAAGTTCACCCTTAATTCAAATGGTTATTTCACCTGTCCTTCTGTGTGGTGGTGTTGAGATGGGACAGGGGTCAGGTGGCTGCTGCATGTCACATACTGTAGGTGAGTACAGCATGTCAGTGGTGGATAAAGTAGTTCTCATTTTTAAGTAAAGTGTTTTTTATCTAACAAGTGTATCTTATCAGTATATTACCACATCAATCCGAGTTGAACATCCATGATTTAACCTTTTTTTTCTGATGGCTTAATGAATCATTTATGTGGTGCTATAGGTGTAGAATGCAAATATCATATTTGAAATGAATTACTGAATGAAGAGGGTCATTAAAATGTTGGAAGTCAACCATGACCATAGCTAGAATTAAGCTGGCAGGTGTGATTTTCAAGTAGGATCTCAACTAGGCCGCATAGTTTTCACAGTCTGAAACTGTACTAAAGCAGTTTAAAAATGGCTAAAATTGAGTGATGACTAAGATTATTTATTGGGAGATTTAAAGTGAAGGATTAAAAACAGTATATAAGCCATTTTCTGTGGACATTTAGTCTCGTTTATTGAAATAAAACAAGAGTTAAACATATATTCCTTTGTTTGTATTAAATTGTTCAATGTGTAAAGAGGGTAAATGATTAAACCAAAAACAAATTTACTTAATATTACTTAGTATTATTTGCTGTACTGAATTCCCTTAATTTCTACTTGTGAATAATAATTGTGACCTCTTATATAAGGAAAAAAATCCTCCCAAACAAAAGACACACTTCCCCTCAAAGTTACAAAAGCATTACACGTAGATCTTTCTTTTTCATGCATGAACAAAATCCATGGTAAAAATTAAAGGGCAATGTGAAAGAGTGTGTACGAAGAAATCAATGTATTTCTTCTTTCTTACCTCAGGGAAGCAGCTTATTCTTGCACACATCTAAGGGACATAAGCCTGTGCACGTCTTCATTACACTTCAACTACTATCTTCCCCTGAGCTGTTTATCTGAATGCTGTGGGTTTTAAAAGGACAGGAAAGAACTTCTAAACATGGGAAAGGCACAATTGTCATTATGGCAAGGTAGCCTCTTTCGCTCTGTGATTGCCCGTTGTTACAGTTTAATTAATGGAAATTATACTGTTGTCCAGCTGTGTCAGATTTTGAGGAGAAAAAATATTCTAGTATTCCATATCTCCGTAAGTGAAAAGGTAAGGGGTATTGCATCTAATTTTAAGCATTTTCAATCCTTGTATTTATCATTATCTTGATATCTTTCTAAAGATATTTTTTCATTGATTTATTTAATTCAGTTCAATTATTTTTTATCATTAAAAATTATTATATAATTTAAAAAACACTATATAATTAAAATATATATAATATATATATATCACACACCTGAAGAAGGCTCCACGGCCGAAACGTTGTGTTTTCTTTCTTCTTTTTTTCCAGCATGGAATAAACCTATTACTTGTTCCATATATATAATATATAATTATATAAAACATTATATAATTTAAAAAAAGGAAATAATGACAGTATTAATCCATCCATCCATCATGTCTTCTGTGTGTTAGTACTCCATGCAGATCTCTGTAGACCAGTAAATTCCTCCTAAACGATAGCTATATCCACGATGTCCCTCTTGGATCCATGGCAATGATGCAGCATCCAACTCATATGGTACCCAGCCCGGGTGCCATCCAGACATGTGGGGAGGAGAATAGGATAGTTTGGTCTGAACAGATGTATCTACCTGGTGGGCCAACATCGAGACACACAATGGCATGTACAGCAGCACCAGCAGCCATGGTTGCTGAAGGCTATAATGTAAGTTGTGAGTACGCTAGGCTGAAGTAATAGGTCTTCAGTCTGAATTTGAATACTGAGATTGACTCGGCATCCCGTACATGGGGTGGGAGACTGTTCCATAAGCTAGGGGCCCTGTAACTAAAGGCTTTACCACCAACTGTTATTTTTTTAATTCATGGAATATGAAGAAGACCTGCATTCTGTGATCTAAGCAGGGAACTTGGATGGTAAACATTAATCAGTTCCATTAGATAGACAGGTGTTTGACCTCTGAGAGCCTTGTAAGTAAGTAGAAGGATTTTGATTTCCTGTACCTGACAGGAAGTCAGTGAAGAGAGCTAAGTATGGGGGTTATATGGTCATACTTTCTGCTCCTAGTAACAATTCTAGCTGCTGCATTCTGAATTCGCTGTAAGGTTTTGAAAGAGTAGTGGGTGCTCCCTGATAGTAGGGCATTGCAGTAGTCTAACCTGCTGTATACAAGAGCATGTATTAATTTCTCTGTGTCTTCAGTGGAGAGAAACTGCCTTAGTTTTGCAATATTTCTTAACTGTAGGAAACATGTTTTAGATACACTTTTAACATGAGAGCATTAAATGAGACCCTTATGTCTAATATGAGTCCTAGGTTACATGCTAAGTCTTTGAGGCAATTTTTTAAATCCACTGAGTTAAGTGCTGAAGTTATAGTAGTCCTATCAGTATTGTTGCCTCCAAACAACAGAACCTCAGTTTTATCAGAGTTGAGTAACAAAAAGTTTTCACACATCCAAGTCTTTATTTTATTAATGCAGTTAACTCAAGTGATAATAGAAGAGTTGTCGTTTGATGTAAATGAAATGTATATTTGAGTGTCATCAGCATATGAATGAAAGTTAATATTATGTTTCTGTATTATCCTACCTCGCTGCAGCATGTAGAGAGAGAACAATATTGGTCCCAGCACTGATCCCTGTGGTACCCCAAATTGAACTGGTGACATTGACGAAGCAGTACAATTATTAGATATTTGAACATAATGAAAACGATTACTTAAAAATTAAGTAAACTACTTAAGGATGGTTCCAGATAAGCCAACCTCAAACTCAAGCCTGTGTAACAAAACAGAGTGGTCAACCATGTCAAAGAAAGCACTAAGATGTAGAAGCACAAGCACTATTGCATTCTCCGTGTCAGTAGCTAACAGAATATCATTTACGACTCTTGTTAATGCAGTTTCAGTGCTGTGGCCTGGGCGGTCACCAGACTGAAATTTCTCAAGTATATTATTTGAATCCAGATATGATTGAAGTTGGGCAACAACTATTCTCTCAAGAATTTTAAATAGAAATGTGACGTTTTTGTTAAGAACTTGTGGATCCAAATTTGGCTTCTTAAGGTGAGGTCTAACATCAGCTACCTTAAATTGATCAGGTACAACGCCTGATGCAAGGGACATGTTCATTATACTAATTATAGGTCCTGCCAGTACTTTGAGGGAATCTTTGACTAGCTGAGTGGGGATAAGATCTAGCGGACAGGTGGTTGACTTTGTCTTAATAATTTATCGAGTTTTTGTTCATTAACTAACTGAAAAATACTATAGAGGTGCTCATATTGTTTCTGTACTAGACTTCTTTGCAGCCTATTTAATTGTGTTTGAAGTCTGATGGTGTTAATTTTATCGTTAAAGAAGTTAATGAAATCGTCACTACTAAAGTTAGATGGTGCTATAGAGTCAGTCTTATTTGTTAGATTTGCTATTGTCTTAAATAGGTAGCAAGGGTTATTTTTTATTGCTTTCTATAAGTTCAGAGTAGTAAGCTGAACAAACTCTATACAGGGCTTTCTTATATTGTTGCAGGCTATCAGTCCATGCCGACTTGAATACTTGCAAACCAGTAGACCTCCATTTGTGATTTATCACTGGAATTCACTCTGTGCACAGAACAGGACACTGGAAAGCTTTTACACTTGTGTGATTCTAGAGGAACATATGGTGTAATATTTGTAGAAAGACATACTGGGATGGGTGGCACAGTGGTTAGGATTGCTGCCTTGCAGCCCTGAGGCCCCGGATACAGTTCTGGACCTGGGGTGCAAACTGTGCATAGTTGGTAGTTGGCCCCATGTTTGCGTAGTCTTTCCTCTGGGTGCTCTGGTTTCCTCCCACAGTCTAAAGAAATACAGGTAGGTTTACTGGCTTCTAGAAAAATTAGCCTGGGTGTGAGTTTCTATGTGTTTGTCCTGCAATGGATAGGTGTCCTTCCCAGCCTTGCACCCATTGCTTGCCAAGACAAGCTCCAGCTCCCCCGGGACCCTGTATTAGATAAAGCAGTTAGGAAATAGAATGATCTGTTTAACAGCTTACCGCATCCTAGTGACTTGATCTTTTCACAGTGAGAAATGATGTGTGAAGTGATGCCGACCATTAACGAAGACACCCCCATTAGTCAGAGGGGCTCTCAGAGCAGCGGCTCCGACTCGGACTCCCATTTTGAGCAGCTGATGGTGAATATGCTGGATGAACGTGACCGGCTGCTGGACACACTCCGAGAGACACAGGAGAGCCTGGGATTGGCGCAGCAGCACTTGCAGGATGTCATCTACGACCGGGACTCCCTCCAGCGCCAGCTCAACTCTGCACTGCCTCAGGTAGGAGAGAAAACTGCCCTTTTTTAACATTATTTCACATTCCTCCCTTGCTTTTATTCCACTCTTTTCTCTTGACTTGGGAAAGAGTTGTAGATATCACCTAACAGGATGTTGAACAGGACAGGATGTTGGGGATATACTTTAAAATTGAATATACCTAAGAATGTATGTCCCAACTGCTGGTGGAGTGTTACTACTATCTGGTGTCCACCAGATATGGATTAACAAGTTTCATTTTGTGTGGTACTAGTGGACAGACATTGATAAGCAATATTCCTGTTCTAGCTCATTGTTTTAATCTTTAAGTGTACATCATATAGATAAGCTACGGTAAGTACTGAAAAGGGAAATGCCGAAGACTGTGCACCATAAGGTATTTAATTCTTCACAGGATTCTAGGGTAGTTCAGTCAGTACAGTGAATGAGAGCCCATTTTGCTCATTTGATTGCCTGTACCTTAATGATGTAATAATTAATCAAGGTGTTTTTTATATGATCACCTTGAGTCAGTTTCCCTAATTGGATAGGGATCTTGTGCCAGACTTCAACAATCCCTTATTTTCTGTTCTTAATATTTCACTCATGTAATGCACATATTTGTATTAACCTGTAGGTAATCTTGGAAAAAACTTCTGATCTAATTTGGTGAATGCCTCTTAAGATGAATTATCTAACCAAGCGTTTTGTTGATCTTTCTTTTTGCTTATCCACATTAGTAGAGGAAAGACATAAATAAGCTTGTATATCAATTAAGTAGTGTTTGTTCTAGTTCAGTAACTCCTATTTTATATCAAAAATGCTTTTTTCTCTTCTGCATTTTCTGTACTCACAGGTTAAATTTCGATTTGAAAGCCTTCATTGCTCTGTTCATGTTTGTGCTTATCTTTGCCGTTTCCCTTGCAATACATATCTTAGGCCGTTCAATATTTTGTTATCGAAAGTCAAGCAGCCATAAGATGTCTGGTGTTTGGGTAATGCATTTGTGTCTATCCTCAATGAAAAAATAATCCTCTTATTTCTGAAACACGAGAAACTTTGATGTAGGACAGTTCCTTTGCCAAGCCAATGGACTTCACTGTGTAGCACAAAATAACTATACTTGGATAACAATACATTGAGGAGTGATTCAAACTCACAGGGTTGTAACACTTTTGCAGAAGCCAAATTAACAGCTGGAATGAAGTGCATTAAAGGATGATTAAACTCCATTACTTTGCCTCTTGGTGAAAGATACAGTGGTATTTCAAGAAACAAAGTAAATTGGGGTCTGCTTAGCAATTTACAATGAAACCAGCAGTGCTGGTGCACCATCATTTATCATTTATTATTGATACTAACTTTCCAATTGTCATTCTTTTTGATGAAATAATACTTGGCTATCTGTAATACTTGTATATCAAACCCACTGGTTGTGGCTTTCAAGTAAATAATTTCAAGAATTTCTTTTTAGTGGTGAAGCCTTTAAACACCATTTAAATAAACAGCTAACTGAGCTGTGTCACATGAGTCAGCTGATTCATCACACTGAAAGCCACTTGCCTGTGTTAAATCCCTCACTAAACATTTCATCTTGTTAACAGATAATGCTTATTCTCTTCCAAGTTGATCAACTGTACTTGGAAATTAAGAACAGGTGTTTAAAATCTCAAAATATTTGGTCATAATTATCATTGTGCCCTTCACAATGTTGTTGTCTGTAAAGAGTAGCTTTATTTGTTAAAAAGTAACCAAATTAAAATGATAGTTCAGGTGGGTAGCTGCGTCAGCATGCGTAGGCTGCAAAGGAACAAGTTATAGGTTTATTCCATGCTGAAAAAAAGAAGAAAGAGAACACAACGTTTCGGGCATGGAGCCTTCTTCAGGTGTGCCTCTGTTACCTTATTACATTTCTTTACTAGTACAGTATAGAATAAACAATACAGCTTTCTGTTCACTTACATTTTTGAGTGCAGGCTGCTTCCCGCTGGGACTCATTGTTGTTGAAATGTGCCTCTTGACCCTTTTTTACAACTGCAACTCTCACATCTTAGATTACACAATAAATATAAATTATTTCCATAAACTTTATATATAGTATGGTTTATAAAAAAACATTATTTTGAATGCAAGTGTCTGTTACAGTGAGTGTTTTAAATGCACGTTTGTTCAAAGCTTAATGATTCTCATTAACAGATGACTACGAATTTGTTTTGGGATTGACATGCTGGCGATCCAATATTCAAGACTTTGCCTGTTTAAGCGTAATAAGAGTAGCTGTATTCAAATCAAGCACTGGCAGTTCTGAGTGAGCGTAAAGTGGTAAGATTATCCTGGGTTTACCAGGTCCCTGTGAAACTTACAGTATTCTCTATAAGAGCCACATCACTCCTTTATTCAATTCCAACTAAACTGTGAGGTTCACAGTGCAGATAAGGGACTAAGGACTAAGGTATGCACTCTATAACCCCAATTCTTGCCTAACTATAATAATGCAGAATATTTGTTCATAAACTTGGAACAGCTTTATCAAAACTATGTACTATAGACCTGTGGAGCGTGATACTTGTTCTTGAATGTAAATTAAATGTATTAAAATACAATTTATTAAAATGATTTAAATGGAAATGTTAATAGTGTATTGATTTTGGAGCTGTATAGACAAATAAATGTCCTGTGATTGTGATTCAGATTAGAGATTATTTGTTTGGCAAAAATATATCTTGAAGTGCTAGTCATAACACTATCTGTTTTTGTTCACTTTGGTTGTTTTAAATATTTTTTAGGAAAATCAATATAGATGTGTACTTAGTAAACTGGAAAAAAGACATCTGTACTTAAAGTTTTCCTTTCTCCACTATCCATTTACTTTAAAATGTCAGTCTTATGAATTTGATTGTGATAATTTATCTAAATAGAATGATAAATGTATTTTTTATCTTTACTGTATATATAGTTTCTTCAGGGAGGATGCTTGTATTTTGTACTTTTATGTTTGCTCATTTATTGTAAAGGATCAGAGAGTTAAATCCTTAATTTTTATCTATTTGAAGATAAAGTAGAAAGTATTTCTGTACTTACACCTAGCACAAATGTATATACCTTACGTAGGCTCAGTGTTATGTGGTCACCAGTGTATTTTATTAGAAAAAAGGTAAATCGCTAGTTGACAGTTTTTTTCTTTCATTTCCATATTAGCTACATTTGAGTTTTTCCCTAAATTACTCCTCTAAAACTATTATGCCTTGTGACTGAGCTTACATTCCTCTCAGCTGACAGCTTTCATAACATAAGATAATAGGGCAAGGGAGATGTGAAAATCTGGAATAAAACTGCAGATAATTGCTCACTATTTTTAAACAGAGAGCTTTAGAGAGGTTAGTGCAGGGAAGTGCCATGGTCTTAAGAATGGAGATGAAGTAGATACTGTGTGAGATATTTATGATTTCACTTCGCAGAGGTAAAGATTCTCTTAGGAGAATTTCAAAAGAAGTCAGTTCTTTGCAGAATCAGAGTGTATACAGTATTACAAAAAGCAGATTCCAAAAAGGCTTTTGCTATTCAACAAAAAAGCAACATCCAAACAATTGTGTAATGTTTTAGGTGGTTATAATTTACAAACTTATAAGTCTAAAATTAATGTCAATTATCATGCAGTTCCGGACACCTGCTTGCTATGCAAACAAGTTCTAAACTTTAACAATTATAGTAAGGAATGCTGAGTATATCATAAGCGCCACTCCATATGCAATAGATAACTCTGCCACGCCAAAAGCCCAGGTCCACTAAAATGTGAGAATTCTACATTACAGCACTGAATAGTTTGGCCCTTCTCTGCCCCTGCCAGGATTTGATCAAAGTCGATAGCAGGATTAGAGCCACACAGCACCACTCCATAGCCAGTGGGGAATTCCTCAGCATCACAAGATAAGGTCTTCTGCAGTATTAGAGTTTTACACCATCTAGGTTTCAGAGGGGGTTGACATCACTTCTGTAACCCTCTCAGTGCACTGAGCCCTGCTACATTTACAGTACTGTGAGCCCTGCCTTTCACAGTACAACACTAGAAAAAAGAATTCTCCCTGATATAAAGACACAGAACACTCTAAATGGTAAAGTGGGAACATGCATTCTCAAACAAACTAAATGTGCTCTCTAAAATATAGATGCTAAATGAAGGGTAAAGAATTTTCAAAATAATTCAAAATAATTTCTAAGTAATGCATTATAAAAATCAGTAAAAAATGTTAAAAAATCTGTAGGATGAACACTTAATACTAGAATGTCACACTGGGATGACCATTCCCTCAATTTCTGACAAAAACTCAGGTCTTGGTTAAAACATTCCTGCGGCTAAATCTATCAATTGTAAACCTAGTTTAAAATCTTTTGTCTTAGGTACCACTTGAGACAAGGCAGCCTTGGCAGGCTTCATCAAAGTCCAAAGCTTTGTAAAATTATCACTCGAAAAGTGGATAAAATAAAATGTATAGCTGCATTGGCTCATAAGCTGTCTTGAGAAACACGTTCTATTAAATAAACTGCACCTGGTAAAATAATTAATTACTAAAGGGCAATTAACTGACACAATTGGGAACATTAGAATGCCTTTGTGTTAGAAGATTGATCTTCTCAATATTGTGAATCGGCACATTTAGTCACTAGTGTATTTTGTTTCATTAAATCAAATCAAAGTTTATTTATCAAATGCACAACAATACGGCATGCAGCAGTAGTTGCTGGTAATGAAATGTTACTACTTACTACTTACTACATTACTACTTCTATATTGTTTTAAAATTACATATGGTAATGTACTTTTTCGTTTGAGTTTGGACTGTTTCACTGTACAAGTAAAATGTACTTTTACAACGTCATTTAAATCTACCACAAAGGGAACCTGACCGTCGGGTGTGTTCATATTATTAAGGCAAGGTCTTGGAAATGACCAGTTTTCATTTTCTATTTTTTATGGTGCTACAAAATCAACACATACTGTATACTACTGTCAGAATATTGTAAGT